CGATGCCGCAGACTCTGGTGTCCGTCTGAATTCCCTTTGGTGTCTGTCCTGCAGTTGTTGCCTCGGACACCTGACCACAGGAGAGCTGAACCGAGAGGTGCAGACAGCCCTGGGGCTGGAAAGGAGCGCCTGTGGGGTGATGAACAGGGTGGACCGCACACGTGTTTTAATAAGCAAGTCAAACACTGACTAGTCTTATGTTGAGCCCACGGTGGTTACAGGCATCATTCCTGGACTCTGGTGATTCCCCATCCTGCCCTTTTCTTTACAGCTAAACGGATGATCTTTGTTCAGCCTGGAGTGTTAATTTTCTTCCTTGGCATAAATCATCTTTGATAGTTTCTGGGTTGATACGTAAGCCCCGTGCTGTACATAAATGAATGAGTGATATGAGGAATATCTGCAAATGTAGTTATGTTGTATGTAATGTACATAAGGAGAGAATGTATTTTGTTCATTTTTTTTCTTAATAAAAATGTATATGCTAGCAAGGGTGTTTAAGATCTGTTTGCTCTAACATCGCTTGCTTCTGGGAATGGAGAAATGTCTGTGAAGGTCTTGCGGTGGTGCAGAGGTTGTGAAACCGGTGGTGCGTTATGCCTGGGCGGCAGGCACTGTTCCTGCTGGAGGAGCCCGCCGTGTCCCTCTGCGCCGCACAACGGCGGAGAAAATACCCTGTTCCCTGAAGTCGGTGAAGGGCTGGGTCAGTATCCCATAAATCCAGCGTGTGCTTCGCAGTGGCTAAAACTTTTATTGGGGTGGAACATGGACCTAAAACATAGGCTGATGCAAACCCCTGACTTTTAATATTTGATCAAACTAAATTCCCCCTTTTTTTTTTTCTTTGCATAAGTGAAAACTTAACCTGGAACAAAATGCTTTATTTTGGGCACTTGAAGGCGAATGGAGATGCTGAACTGCCCACGCTGCCGCTGACCCTGGCTGTTGCCCTTGCTTGATGGCCCCCCTTTGTCAGGCTGCTCAGGGGCGCGATGCTAGATTCCCTCTTCCGCAGCCTGTCCGAAGTGTGAGGAGGGGTCGGGGGCTCGGAGTGAGTTGGGACGAAGTGCAGAAATAAGGGCAAGCTCCCTCTCCCTTCCTGCCAACGTGAGCCTAAAGCCACTAACACTTCAAACGGGCACTCTGGCTGTCGTGGGGCTGCCCTCACCCACATCAGCTGAGCATCCCACCCCTCTGGATTTTCTGCGTTTTTAATTAAGGGAAGTTTTTTGCCACTATCACGCTTCCTTCTGCATGGGAGAAGTACGAGCTCCTCCATGCCTGGCTACCTCTGATCGTCTGGGTTGGTTTTACTCCTGCCCCTCCAGTGTTTTCACATGTCCTTGCTAGCAGGACCGTGCAGAGCCTGCGCTGGGTTTCCAAACAAGCTCAAACCACAGCCAGTTGTAACATCTGCATTAACAGATAGTTGTGGCTTTTGAGCACAAGCTCTGCGCCCCCCCCCCCTTTTCACTCAGCCAAGAAACAAGCCTTTTACATAAGAATGTTTATTGACAGAAATACATGATGCTTTCAAAATATATTTGTAGGAAAATGCAAGAAGAATCTCTACAATCCAGTTCCTCAGTAAATTCCAGTGTAAATCAGACTCCTGTCCCCGTGAGAGATGCTGCTATACAGTACGTAAGAGCTCTACTACATGTGCAAGGTTCAACGGGTAGCCGCCTCGGGAAATAGGTTCTCCTTCTGCAGTCCCTTATGGATTATGTCTTCCCCTGTATGTCTTCTGTAGGCAACAGTCACAGTATCAGCCTCGTCAGTTGGGTCATGGCACTGTGAGCGGGAGATAAATGGTCCTAAAATATTTACACATTCCTTGTGAATCTGAAAATAGAAAAAGTCTCTTGCAAGGACATCTGAGCTGCTTGTAAAACTCTCACCAAAAGGTAAGAGCAATAATCTCTTTGTACAACGTGTCGGATGTTAAAGCTGTTTTGGGGGAGAGAAGAGGAGCGTGGGGAAGGGAGGAGGGGCAGGGAGGGAGGAAATGCCTGGGTAGATTTTTTTTTTAATTTATTTTTGGTCTAACAATTATGGCTACAGTCTACAAAGGGAAGGATTAAGGCCAAAGATGCTCATCACTGCATTTCCTACCTGATTTTTTTTTTTTTTGCAAAAAGAATGTTCTCAACATAAAAAACGTACTGTGTTTTCCGTGGAAGTAGTTCTTTAAATAGGGGAAGGAAAATCTACTATAAAATATTAGTGGTTTAAAAATATGGTGTCTGGAAAAATAAATAAATGTACAATTCCTATTCAAATATAAATCACTGTAAGCACTTGCTGAGCAGTTAATATCTTCACTGGTCTCTGCTCGGAAAGATTTAAGGTTGCTTGATCTCAAGCCTTTGTAGGGTTCTCTCGGAAAGTCTTTGGACCTGATTCATTAAAGCACTTTGGCATCTCTTCGCTGGAAAGGGGGATCTTAGGCACATGCCAAAACCCGACTGCCTGGAGATGCTCTGCCAGGGGCACCCTTACGGCAACGGCAACCCCGGCGGCCAAAACCTCGCTGCTGCCCCGTGTTTTCAGCACATTTATTTTCTGCGAAGGACAGAAACGCGAGGTCACCGCCCCGCCGCTCGTCTCTTGGGGCAACTGGGAAGGAACGCGCTCACGAAAGCAATTGCAAACGCTGAGACCGGTTCTTTGAGCCTTGCTGCAACGTTAAAGAGTGGAACTCGATGCTGCCTGAGCGGGGACAAAGCCGTGGCGTGGGGTTAGCCGGGTGGGAGGCGTTTTCCTGCTTCGTGTCGAATTTTGATCCCTTACCAGACTGGCCTTTAG